AAAGTGTGTGTATAAAATGACCTCTGGCTAACATATTTCATAATGGAAGAGGGAATAATAAAGTGTGGTCCTAACATTTGGAATAACACACTTTTTTTTACCACTGTTTTTAAACATCATACTGGAAGTCCTAATGAGTGCAATAAGACATGAAAGTGAAATAAAAGGCATAGATAATCATATATGTAGAAAGTACTATGGAATCTACAAAACAGATACTAGAATTAATAAGTGAGTTTAGTAAGATTGAAGAATGTAAAATATTAAATAATTATATTTTTATGTACTAGTGTGATAGTTGAATAACATGCCCCATTCCCAAGATGTTCATTGCCTAACCCCTGAACCTGTGAGTATGTTTCCTTCCATGGCAAAAGAGACTTTGTGGGTATTACGAAGTGAAGGATTTTGAGATGGGGAGATTATCTTGGTTTATCCAGATGCAGCTAATGTAACCACAATGGTACTTATAAGAAAGAGAGAGAGTTAGAGAAAAATATGTGATAACTGAAGCAGAGGTTGGAGAGATGTGTAGCCACAAGCCAAGAAATGCAGGAAATTTGTAGAAGCTGGGAAAGCCAAAGAAATAGATTCCTCTAGGAGGAATGCAGGCCTGCTGACAAATTTTAGATTTCTTACCTTAAGAACTATAAGAGAATACATTTCTATTGCTATAAGCCACTAAATTTGTGATAATTTGTTATAGTGGCAACAAGAAAGTAATACAACTTGTGATAAATAATAGATTGAGATTAAAAGCAAAATCATTTATAAAAGCACCAAAATATAAAGTATTCATACACTAAAGAATGCAAAATATGAGTGAAAGAAATTAAAAATGTAATAGCAACAGATATCACCATTATGGATTGGAAGACTCCATATTTTAAAAATATCAGCACCCCAAGTAGGTCTATAGATTGAATGGAACCTCAATAAAAATTTCATTAACTTTTTATAGAAATGGAAAATCTATTCTGACATTTATATAAAAATGTAAAGTACATATAGCAGCACAAGTAACTTTAAAAAAGTGGAACAAATTGGAGGACTTATACTATCTGACTTCAAGACTTATTATAAAGCTACAAGAGTAAAGTTAATGTGGTGTTGGTGTCAAGTCAAATAAATAAATGGAACAAAATGAATAATTGAGAAGTAGAACCACTTATATATGGTCATTTTAATTTTCAAAATAGGTAAAGTATCTTCAGTGGAAAAAGAAAAGACTTCAACAAATGCAGAAAAAAAAACAACAACAAAAAACAAAAAACTAAACTTGAAGTAATACCTTGCACTATATGCAAAAATTAACTCAAAATGGACCACAGACCTAAATTGTATAGGTCTATATACGGAAGTATACAGTTTTATATAACTGTGAACTTCTAGAAGATAACATAGAAGAAAGTATTTTGAGACCTGGGGTTATATAAAGATTTCTTAGATAAGATACCAGAAGTATGGTCTATAAAGAAACCAAATTGATAAATTGGGCATTGATCAAATTAAGATGTTCTGCTCTCTAAAAAGCACAGCTAATAGAATGAAAGACAGACCTCTCTATGGGAGCTAATATTTGCAAACCATAGATTATATAAAGGAAATATATCCAGAACATATAAAGAATTCCCAAAACTCAATATCCAATTAAAATCCTCATAAAATCCTCTTTTTTTTTATAAAAGAGAGAGATACTTTATCAAGGAAATATTTGATGGCAAATAAGCACATGCTTATCATATTTAGTCATTAGAGAAATACAAAACAAAATCACATTGCAATACTACTTTGCACTAATTCGAGTGTATAAAATTGAAAACACCTACCATTGCAACTCTTGACAAGGATGTAGAGTAAGCACACTGCTTTGGGGAATGTAAAAAATGGCACAACATCTTTGGAAAACAGTTTGGCAGTTTTTGAAAATTAAAAATACCCTTACCATATGACCTCATAATTCTACTCTTCAGTAGTTACCCAAGATAAATGAAATCACTGGTCTATATAAAGATTTGTACACAAATATTCATAGCAGCTCTATGTGTAATAGCCAAAAACTGGAAACAACTCCAAATGTCCATCAACACCTGGATAAATAATTATAGTATATCCATACAATTCAATCTACTCAGCAACAAACAGAATTAAGTTTTGATATATATGATGACATAAATGAATCTTAGTATAATTCTAAATGAAAAAATCTAGATTACAAATATATGTTCTGTGTAACTGTACTTATATAATATCTGGAAAATGCAAAGTTATCTACAGCAATAGCAAGCAGATCAGTGGTTGCTTGGGGATGGGCAGTGGTGGGGAGGAGCAGGAGGGAGGTATTAGAAAAAGGCCCCCCCAAATTCTAGGATATGAGGGATATGTTCATTTTCTTAGTATTGACAATGGTTTCACCTTTGCATATAAACTGTATACTTTAAATATTGTGATTTGTTGTGTGTCAATTATATCTCAATAAAGCTGTTAAAAATGATTGTTTTGACACATGGATAAAAAGTCCTTAGCCTCAGAGAGAACTTGTCCCTGGGTATTGTGGAATACAGTAGTTAATGAAGCAGTCAAGTCTCTGGTTATTGTTCTGGGTGGCAGTTCTTTATGTGGGACCAGTGAAAGTGGCGGCAGATGTCTCTTTCCCTCAAAAACAATGTTCTTCATTCTTTTATGTTCAGATTAACAGATATGAAGATGACCATCCAGGATAGTTTTGTCCTATATATATTCTTCTATTCCTTACCCTATCAAATATTAAGGTGCTATTTTATGCTGACTGATATTTGAACCTTTATTTTTAATTTATAAGTTTGAATATTTATAATCTATCAAGGGAAGCCACGCAAGCAAGGCTGGTGCTCCTGCCAGTGCCACATGGATGGATATAGTTCCCAGAACAGGGACTTGGGCAGTGTTTTCAGTGTTGGCCATCTACAACAACCAGAAGAGGTTGGAACCAAAACAAGGGCAGAACCGTGTCTGAAGAAGACACCCAGGATCAAAACTAGATGCTAGATTTGATGATCATCAAATGGTCATCAAATGAGGGACAATATGGTGATAAGGGGCAGATATGGGAGATTTTCCAGAGTTCAGGTAGCCTGAAGAAAAAGCATAAAGCAGAAATGAGATGAAAGGGGACATGTCTTTGGTCATAAATAGAAATGGGTTCCCTGGAACTTTCTTCCATTAGGTATTGACTGCAGGATGATGTGTGGGTCATCTGGGTCAGAAGGCATGGGGTTTGGGGCTGGAATAATGGATATAAAGCACATTGTCACTTTAATACCCTCTGAGTAATTAAAGTTAGTCATCCTAGTGCGGAGAAGGGTGCGGCAGTCAATGGCTTTCTAATTTTTTACTTTGGAAAACTTGCCAGACAGGATGTGAGATTTCTTCTTTTTTAAAAGGAGGGAATTCTCTCTTAAATATTTAACTTCATGATAGGAGTAATGGATCGTAAATAGGAAAGAGAACAAAAAGAAAAGGGGTACATAAATTACAAATATTTAAGATACATATGTGCATTGTAAAATGTGTCATAGAAATATAAAATGGGCATTGGAAGAACATCACTCAGATAACTAAACTGATTTAAGTGTCTTACATTTATAATATTTCTGGTATCGGAGGATACATATGATACACCTACTTCTTTACTCAGATGATACATATGATACACCTACTTCTTTACTAGGGAGGAAAACTTGAAAAAATCCAAGGATTTTCATTTTCTGTAAAATTTTGAAATTTAAAAATAATATAGGTTTCAAAACCAATTTCTTCCCCAACAAGTTTGACTTCAGTTTAACAGACATGATCATAGTGCTTTCAACTTCACAGGACACACCATGCTGGGCTTTGTTTTCTGCTCTGGTGCAAAAGAAAGAAGATGAAGTCATAGAAAAATCTCAGCTCATTCATTATACAGACACATTGCTGTTCTAGAGACTCATCTGCATGAGAAAACTCTGCTATGGCCAATGGTTATTCTTGAGTAGCATGTTCATACAGCTTTCTCAGAATTGGAGACATCTTACATGGAGAACTTTTAATGGATAAAAAAATCTCATAAACTTGGAATGTTGAAATATATTTTTATTGTAATGTTACTTGAAATGTACAACTATAAAACTACATATGCACTCCTTATACTTTTAGCTATGAAGCAGATATAGGACAAAAATTAACTTGTTTAAAAATTAAATAACAATGAGACTTTAAAATGAATAAAATTCAAATTGATACCATTAATCTGATGTGATGTATAATGCTATCCTGCTAAAACTAAATTTCCTGTTCTAATGAGGATTTTCAGACCACAGGTGCACAGATCTCAGCTGGTGAATGTTCTACAATAGTGATGTGACCCCTTTATGTTATCCTAGAGGCAATGGTGGTCTAGTAGATACCATGTGAGGTTTAGGACAAACAGAGCTCAGTTTAAATCTCTTCTCTGATTTTTTGGTAAGAAATGTGAGTCAGGACAAATTAACTTCTTTACCTTCATTATTGTCATCTGTGAAATGGGGAGCATGGTGAAGTGGATAATACCTTTTTGGTGTTGAAGATTTAATGAGATAATTTAGAAGGTATTCTATAACAATTAGTTCCTTTCCCCTAATTTTCCTTTTTCAACAGTTTTCATAAGTTTGGCTTTCCAAAGAGAATTAAAGCCTATAAAACTGCATTAAAAACTAACTAAGAATTAATTTTGGGAAGCAAAGAATAACTAAAACTTCCTTCTTCCCATACACTATGATTTTTTCTTTTTTTGTGATTGCTATATATTTTTTTCCTCTCCATTCATAATGTCCTCCCAACATTCTGATGTTCAAATCCATTTCCTCACATTTTAAGGTCCAAATGAAGTGCCCTGCAGCCAGATAACTTCTCTAAATTCCCTTGGCTAGAAGTGATTGCTACCTTCTTATGATGCCCGAAGCACTTTATGTATATATGTCTCATGTGATGCTCAAATTTGACAGGTCTTGGAGACAACTTACACAACCGCAGGACCTTGAAGTTGGGATTGGAGAACAGATTTCCCACAGTCCAGCCCAGAGGAGGACTGCTGGGAGACAGCTGCAGGCAGATTCGCCCAATGGGAGCAGCCAAAGCTAAGCCCCTCGGCATGCAGGGTGAGGAGACAGTGTCAAAGATGTGATGTTCTGCTGGGAGGATTACTAGCCTCCCATCAGTCCTTTCAGCCAGTCATGAATGTATCCACACAGAACAGTCCTGTCAGCAGCCTAATTCCTTCACAGGAGAAGAAATGATAGATCCATGTAGGTGAGGTAAGGCTATGCTTCTTATATTCTCGGTTGTAAAGAACCTGCACTTCTGGAATCGTCTTTGTAGCAAGTAGGTACTGTTTAGTGGTTGATTTGCTGCTGACTTGCACAGGAAACTCGGTCAGCTTGTGGGCCAGCCTCTGAGATTGGAGCTGCGAGGAGTTTCATACAGTAGATTTGAGGGAGAGATGGAAGAGATCAGGGAACCAGGCCACTGATAGAAGACTCAAATGCAGAGGAGGTGGGATCAACTAAGGTAGGGGAGTTGTCAAGGCTGAATTGTGGTTTCTGCTGCCTATGGTGAGGATAACCAGAGGTAAACAAATGTGAACACCAAAAAAGGGTCAGGGCTTACCATTTAGAGTGGAACAGACCATTCCCCATGCATAAGCTCTGACCTTGTCTTTCTTAATCTTGACATTTAAAAACCCAGTAGGGACTGAGAATAAATATTTTTCTTTAGAAGGGATAAATGTGTTAGTCAGCATCTCTCCAATTGACTCAATCATGAAAATCACCTGATGAGTTTTTTCAAACCCACAAATTTCCAAAATCTATCTCAGTTGTGCTAGAATCATGATCATCAGGGGAAAGGCTGGTCTGGAATTTTGACTTATTTCCCAAGCGCCTCAGGTGATTTTTATAATCAGACTAGCTTGGGGTGCACTGGTGTGGCAGGAAGGGCTCAGGACGGGAGACCAGAAGGTGTAAGTTTGAATCTGGGCTTTAATGCTCACTCATTAGGAGGTCTTGTAGGAGCAATATAGCATCTCTGAACCTCAGTGTCCTCAGATGGGAAAAGGGCATCCTGTACTCCCTACCTTATTTGCTTGTGAAACACAAATGACTGAATGTGTGTGGGAATACATGGGAATCACAACTGTTGATTGTAAAAATTGACTGTTTTCCCAACAGTTAATAAGATTAGTTACTCATACAGTACAAGACTTCCCATTGACTTGTGGCATATTTTGGAAGACGTTTATTTAGGTCAAATCACTTACAAGATGACAGAAGGAAGGCTTTGTTTCATGTCTTGGCTTTGTTTCATGCTCATCTCCCCACCACTCAGCATGCACTGTGAGAGGACTTTGTTTCTTTGGGGGCTTCTTGGGCTACTGTCGCTGCTTTCACGGCCCTCTGGAGATTTGTGAAACCTGGAGATCAACCCCACAGTCCGAAGGAGCTCAGTTGTCTTTTATCTCCCACTGAGGGTGGGAGGCGAGCAGTGTACGTGCTCACCTCCCACAAGAACGGAATGAAGTGAGACCACCTGATAGATAGCTAGATGGATGTGGGAAGGAAACTAGACATCAGAAGGAACGTGGGATGAAGTGAGACCACCTTTGGTCAGCCACATTTATTCCAGCGCCAAGAAGAGAAGTTACTGGTCAGGAAATGCCTGATGTGTAGGTATGTGTGTGAATATTTAGTTAAATAAGTATACGTATGTGAATATTTTTAATTATGACCATTGTTGAAAAAAATCAGTGTACCGAAAACACAAAGAGGAAAACAGATTATTTGTAATCTCATTACCCAGAGCTAACTATTGTTCATATTTGGTGTATATGTTTCCATGCCTGTCTATCAAGTAAAATTAAGACTTTTTAAAAACCATTTATTTTTCAGATAATGTAGCTTTGATAGTTTTCCAAATTAATAAATACAGATTCACATCATTGTTTTTAATGTCTGACTTCTAACATATGGTGCACTACAGCCTCAAACTCCTGGGATTAAGTGATCTTCCTGCCTCAGTTTCCTGAGTAACTCCTCTTTATTCTTAATGACATTCTTTGTCAGAAGTTTACTTTGCTTAATATTAATATAGCTAGCCTAGATTTATTTGATGAATATTTGCATGAAATGCTTTTCTCCATCTTTTTAGTTTTAGCTTACCTAGGTGTTTAAAGTTGCTTTTTGTCACTCAGAGTCAGCCCTTCATATTCATGGCTTATGCATTGTGAATTCAACCAACCATAGATCAAAAATTTTCAGGAAAAGGATGATTACTTCTGTACTGAACACATACAGACATTTTTCTTATTGTTTTCTAAATAATACATTATAATAACTATTTACATAGCATTTACATTGTACTAGGTATTACAAGTAATCTATAGATTATTTAGGGGGAATGTATGTAGGCTATATGCAAATACTATGCCATTTTATATAAGGGTCTATGGCATTTAAATAAATGCCATCCATGGATTTTGGAATTTGAAAAGGCATGCTAGAACCAATTCCCCATAGATACCAAAGGGAAACTGTACATAGTTTGGTCTTGCTTTTTAATACAATCTGACACTCTGTCTTGTAACTAGTGTATTTAGGGGAGACTTGACAACTTTTTCTGAAAAGGACCAGAGAGTAAATATTTTCTCTTTTCTAAGTGACGTGCTCTCTGTTGTAGGTAATTAGCTTTGTCACTGCAGTGTACTGCAGCCATTGACAACAAGCAAACGAACAGGCATGTTGGCCCTGGTCCATGGTAGGTCACCATGTAGGCCAGACTTGGCCATCAGGTCATATAGTTCGCTGACCCCTTGTTTAGAACTTTCAAAGTATGTTCTTTGATATCCTTAGTTCTCTGAAGATCAGCCTGGCTCTTCTACTTGTTGCCAGCTAATGACTTTATTCCTAAAATGTGGAACCGTGAGTTGCTGTTCTGCATCTGCCTGTTTTCCCTCACTCTTCTTTCTCTTACAAATCCTGCTTTCCCTTTGTTAGATAAATCAATCATTTGATTGGTTTTATTTATGTGCCAATAAAACAGCTTGATAACAAGTATCTATCTTTAGGTTATTCTCTGTCAATACCCTTTTTGCTTCTTGAGAACACTTTACTATTTGGTTAGAGACCTTTTGATAGTCATAGAATTTGAGAATGAGACTGATCCTTAGCCAACCTAATTTTGCTGGTCATGTTTGATTATTTGTTGATTCATATAATTATTATATTTGTGTATTTCTTTAATCATTAATTAATACAACAAAGAACAAATATTTTGAATTTAGGCACTGTACCAAATGCTAGAAATATAAACATGAATAAGACTTAAACTTGCCCTTAGGGAGAGCTTTTTCTTTCTTCAACATCTTTCTAGCTTAATGTGTGGTCTTGCTGCCTTGCTCCTGCTGCAAATAATATAAATGAGTGTGGCTTTTCCCTTACAATATGTATCCAAAACATATTCATTTATTAATTCACACATTAATGAATTAACCATTACAAAAAGTACTGTGAATTCTCACAAGAAAAATTGCTCAATTGTAGCAGATTATATATTTATAATTTCTGTTCAAAGTCATCCATTGTGTTAAGTCTATGATGTTTTATTAGACTTTCTGGTCCCATACTATGTGTTTAGTTCATATTTAAAACATACATTTGAAAAAATCTATTTACTTTATTGGAATTGCCCACATCCTCTTCAGAGATCACCACCACCACCACCAAAACCTCTGTGTTTGTTCCAGGAAAAATAAGAACACTGGAATAAATTTTAATTCTTTTAAAAAAGAAAATATTATGCTTTAGTAAAATGAACTTTTACTTCCTAATTTCAAGTTGCTTACAAGCAGTAATATTTGTCAGAAACTGTTATGATATGCTTTCTCATGTTAAAAAATGTAAGCAGAAGAACCAAAGGAGTTTACTAAACAGAATGTCAATAGAAACCCAAAATTTCTTTCAAGTTTCTGGCCTTCCTGGCTAGAGAAGCACCTTAAACCAGGGTATGAGAATTACTAAATAGAATCAACAACTTGTCCAAACAGTCATCTAAAATTCTGGAAGGATAGCTTCTTGGAGATTTAGACACCTCTCCAATTCTCTCACCAGTGAGAGATGATATCACTATTTTATTTTTATAAAGAAATGTGCTTTCTGAGCTGTGAGCCTCTATCTCAGTAAATCTCTGAGCATTCTCAACAAACTAATCAGTAATAATTCAGACATATTGCTCAATAGAGACTAAACTAACCTTGTGATAGATACTGTGATGGCCATGTACACTTACTCTACCCAGTAAAGTTGCTTTTATCTTTAACCCCCAGCTTTCTCTTTCCCTTTTTGTCAGCTCTTTCTTCTCAGCATACGAGTTTTCTCAAGTCTCTTCCATGTTAATAAGACAAAACACAGAACCCTCAATAACTTCTTTTGACTCTGTGACTTCCTCTCTATCCCCCTTCAGTTGCTTCCACATACTTTCTTTGCAGTCAAGATTCCAGAATATGTCATTTACATTCTAGGTTCATTTTCTGTGATTAGCACATCCCATTACATTTTGGTTTTGCTCCATCACACAATTAAAATTGCTCTTACTGGAGTTGTTTCCACCTCCCGTTTGACACTTTCAGTAATGATCTTAGTTTACTTCGTGGGGCATTTGACATTGTTCACAATGCCCTCATCCCCCAATGCCTTTATCTTTCCTGGCTACTTGAGCAACACTTTCTCTGGGTTTTCTTTCTACTTCTTTGGTTGCTGCCTCTTACATTTCCCCTAGCATATTTTAAATTTGCCTGCCTCTGAAAAATGTAAGAGTTACACTTCCAAAGAGTAGAGCTAAAAAGTGACTTTATAGTGGAGAACCTGACAAAAACTACCTAACCTTTAAGGCTCATAGCCCCAATTATGTCATGCACGCATCAGATATCCCTGAAATGCTGTGATGAGAAAGGGTGCTTTACCTTTACGGGATATTCTTTCCAAAAACCTATAACCCCATCTAATGGTAAGAAAAATACATGAGGCAAACCCAAATTGAGGAACATTCTACAATACCTAGCCAGTACCCTCAAAGGTATTAGCTCATTTTTTTAAAAGGAAGATGAAGAAAATGTCAGAGACGAGAAAAGACTAAAGGGACACATTAACTCAATGGAGTGTGGAATCCTGAATTTGAGCTTGGAACAGAAAAAGGACATTAATGAAAACCTGGTGAAGTCCAAAAAAAGGACATTAATGAAAAACTGGTGAAATCCAAAAAAGGTCATCTAGAATTTAGCTAATAGTTAATTTTGGTTTCTTAGACTTGGCAAAGATACCATAGTAATGTGAGATGGTATATTTAAGGAAATGGATATTGGATATATTTGAAAATCTTTCTACTAACTTTATACATTTCTGGCAAATCTAAAATTATATTAAATCAATGTTTTATTTTTTTTAATGTAAGAATCTTAGGCTCCTATTATATTTCAATTGTGTATTTGAATGTTCCTTATTGAGACACTGAACCTTTGAATAAGGTTATTTAAAGCTATTGGTAGCAGAAGGCTAATTTGAGACAAAATATTTGGGGAGGCATTTCATGGGCCAGGGAGATTAAAAACAACTTACGCTCAAAGCCAGAGGCAAAATAGGGTGTTAGAATGTCAGAATCATGCAAAGTCAGAGTGTGAACAGGTCAGAAATTAAAAAAAAAAAAAAAAAAAAAGAGAGAAATGCAATTGCTAGGAAAGTCCTTGGGAATATTTTAACTAGTATAACCATAGGGCTGTCTTTTAAACATACCGTTACCTACTAGTTAAAGCCTGTTTGACTGACTTAAAACATCAGAAGTAGATGATGGCTTTTAGTTTATACAGGATACTTTGCATATGTTATGAGTTCCCTTGTTAATCCTTGCAGCAACTTTGTGAGGTACTATTATACAGTATTTCCACTCTATAGAGGAGCACACAGAGGTACAGCAGCTAGTATAGAGCAACATGCCAAGAGACAGGCTCATGACTCAAAACACTGCTTGTATCAGCTATGGTTTTTTTTGTTTTTTTTTTTTCTTTTTCTTTTTTGAGACAGAGTCTCACTCTGTTACCCTGGCTGGAGTGCAGTGGTAGGATCTCAGCTCACTGCAACCTCCTGGGTTTAAGCGATTCTCCTGCCTCAGCCTCCGGAGTAGCTGGCCAGGATTACAGGCATGCACCACTGCACCTGGCTACTTTTTGTATTTTTAGTAGAGACAGGGTCTCACTATCTTGGCCAGGATAGTCTTAAACTCCTGACCTCAAGTGATCCACCTGCCTCAGCCTCCCAAAGTGCTGGGATTATAGGTGCGAGCCATTGTGGTCAGCCATTATTGAATTTCTAAAGAGTTAAAAAGGAACCTTCTTCAATTCATGTAAAGGATATTTATTCTTTTACTCTTTGAAGTGTTGTGATGTCTCTTTAAGATTTCTTTATTTAACCTCACAGGTTTGGCTAAACCAAGACCTATGACAAAAATGCTGCTTGGTTCCAGGTCTTAATTTGCAGTTTTGTAATGGAGTGCTGGGTAGGACTTGACTGAGCTGATCAATCGCTTAAGAGATTTGGAACAACTGGGAAATATAGAGCAATGGGAGTCCATTTTGGTGTAGTCCATTTGTTGGGAGTCCATGATATTTGGTGACATATTTGTATTTCTCACCTTTCTTAGGACATTCTGATAGTTTTTGTTGTTGTTGTTAAATCTCTCTGAGTAAAAACTTTAAGAAATGTTCAACACAAGCTTAAAAGCAAAAATATAACAAAAAGGTCTTGCTTGCTCTTGTTGGATTGTTCCTTGAAAATTTCAAATAGTCCAAATGACAAAGTTTCTTTATATATGTTAGACCTACCAGCTTCTCCAGGTAATATATTTATTTCTTCATAAACAAGGCATAGTCTAGAAGATTGGAGTTTAGGCTTACTAAATTCATTATAAATCTTTCTGCTAGAAGTTTTAGCATTTTTATAAATTAGTTTATTTTAACATAACCTAAATTCTACAATGTAAACTCATGCAAAGCTTTTTCCTCTCCTGGGTTTAAAAAATATCATTTGGGATGACTTTAGTACTTCGGGTAGTTTGATCAACTGCATGTTAACACTTAAATCTAAGACAATGGTTTCTGTTCACACACCAACTTGAAAAACAAAACAGAAAAAATAATGAAAAACAGCCTAAGTTACATATCTGATGACAGGTAGCCATAGCAAGAACGACAGAAATTTAGAGGAGAAAATGTGCCTTAGGAGGGGTCAGGAGAAATTTAGTGAGAAAAAAGAAAAATAAAACAATGAGGTAAGTATGGACTTAAAGATTGAAGGGTCTTGAAAATAGCATTAGGTGAAGATTGATTTAGTGGATTGGAGGAAGAAATAACTAAACTCCATACTGAGTGTATTAGTCTGTTTTCATACTGCTGTAAAGAAATAGCCAAGACTGGGTAATTTATACAGGAAAGAGGTTTAACTGGCTCACAGCTCCACATGGTTGAAGAGGCCTAAGGAAAAACTTACAATCATGGCAGAAGGCAAAGAAGAAGCAAATATCTTCTTCACAAGGCCATAGGAAAGAGATAACAGGAAAAACTGCTACTTATAAAACCATTAGATCTCATAAGAAGTCACTCACAATCATGAGGACCCCATGACCCAGTCACCTCCTACCAGGTCCCTCCCTTGACACCTGGGGATTACAATTTGAGATGAGATTTGGGTGAGTACACAGAGCCAAACCGTATCACTGATAGAAGACAAGAATAAAATGATCTATCTCTCAGGAAGAATTATTCTTTTAGAAATTGTTCCTGTGAGGACAGTGAGAGATAAGAGAGCATATATTTGAAATTGAGCGAGAATTTGCATGTCAGGATGTCTGTGACCCCTGTGTCAGAGACCCTTTCGAATCTCTGTGGCTCCTTCCTCAGTCATGAAGTCGATAAACAGCAACACTCTTGTCTGTTATTTATGATCTCTTACCCCAAAGCTTCAGGAACTTGTTCATAAGGCACAGGAAAAGCCTTCTTATGTTATGCAAGATCCAGACAGACAGACAACCAGAAAAGATGTTCTTTTCAGTATGCAGGGAGGCCCTTGCCCTTCTAAGCATGATTTACGCAAGTGCAAGGATATTGTTCTCTGAACCAGTAAATGAAGCGGGGATTATAATGGTATCTAATCCTGTTTTACTTCTTTGTTCATTATTGAAGGATTATACTGCTTTACAAAACTGATGTGATTTTCATAGGATATAAAATGATCTACTAAACTCACAGGAACCAAAAAGTATATGATTTGTATTCAAGCTTTGAAGGAAAGCACTTCTTTTACAAGTGACAATATAAACAAAAACTCTAGTTCTTCTGGCAGTTATTGCTTGGAATTATCCAGGAATTTAGAGTTCCCTTTTGAGAGTAATAGCATTTTGGTGTTTGATTTTGTTTCATTTTGAAGAACTCAAAGGTTTTTATTTTTCACAAGTTTTTTTTTTCTGATAAATGTGTATTATTAGAATTTTCATATTTTATTTGATAATTTACATTAGAATTTCATAAAATATAAAAATTTTAAAATCTAAATTATTTAATGGTCTTGAAAGATAAACTTGACTTCTTATCATTAAGTGGTGTCAATAGATATGTTCCTGTGCCTCCAATTTAAATGAATTGAGTCAGTCTAGATTTTATGATATTAGATCAGTTAGATATGAGAACTCCCTGGGTATTGGATATTGGCAACAAAAAGACAATAAGAGCATACATATCATTAAGAATCAAGACATTTTAAAAGTAAAATTTCAGATAACCTGCTTAAGCCTTTATGAAGGAAAAATTAAGTGTTGGATGCCTTTAATGAGAACTCCAGATCTCAGAACACTTCATGCATTATTTTGTAAAATATTCAAGTTAATTCTCTGAAATTTTTCTTAATCAAAGAGAATCCATGTAGATTGAGGTACAGTAAACGAAAGAACCATTGAAAAGTATGTGGTTTTCAAATAAGTGTAAAAGAAAACTGTGAGTCAATGTATGGTTTCAAGATTTAAAATTAATTTTAGTAAAATTTTTAGAGTGCCCAAGTGAAGAAACAAAAACACTTCTTGTTTTTGAACCATCTGAAATTCAGATGGAATGAAAAAATTTCAGGTTTAATGAAATCAAACCATAGCACAGTTCTTTGCCTGGGCAAAATGGGAACTATTAATAAACATTAAATTAGAGAACAGTTATTTAAACTACTCCTGAGTGAGTCATAGCTAGTTTATTTAACAGAAAATTTGTGTCTTCTGTTATCATTTGCTGAAGGAATGCCAAAACCATTTGGGGATATTTATTGAAATAACAAGAGAAATAAGCAAAATGGGATAAGAAAATAGGGAGACAAGGAAAAATATCTGATCTTCAATATGCAAGTCTGTTGGGAAAATAATATTTTTTATTTTGCCAAGTATTTGTTGAGGTTCAAGTAAGTAGCAGGATAAGAGTTTTTTCTTGCAAAGAATTGGCAGTCACATCTTACAAAAATTAAAATGTTTAAGTCTCATTATAGATTTGTATTCATAGTGCATTTTTCCTTTGTAGTGTTTAGTACAGCTTATTAAACATTTATTTGTGTGTGCTTTTCTAAGCTCTGAGTTCCCTGAGGGAAAGACTAGAAAGGATCTCTGGTCCTTTACTTACTTTCTAACACTTAGCACAATGGCTAACACCTGATAGAACACAGCAACGAGTCATTGCATGAATGAGTGATGCTAATGAAGTAAAAAACTGAACCCATAGGAAAAACTAAGAGGACATTTGATTATTTTAATCATTATGAGAAGATGGTTCTGTGGGAACAAATATAGAGTACGCATATGAGAACATAGAGAAACTCTTTATTCAGAGCTTGCAAGGGAATCAGCAACTATCATTTGTGTTTGTCACAAAGAGGCAGGCAGAGGAGTGGGAAAGCTTAATAGTGGAAAAAAGGGAAGGCTTCAGGTGTCCCCAGTTGGAGGTGTCAACATAAGGCAGCTGAAGGGGCTACCTAGAAGTAGCTTTTCTTCTCTAGTTGGTTTGGGGAGTATATTTGGTTTTCTCTGGTTAGTCCTGAATTGGTAGAGAGGGCAAAAATTATGAAAGATTAGATTTGTGGTTTGGATTATATTTCTTCTAGACATCTGGGTTTTGACCCAAGATGACCTTTTTGTGTATAAGTTTCCTCTTCAGTGAAATAAGACAAATACATTGTATGGCTTGTTCCTTCTTCATTGCCTCAACATGAGTATTAAAAATGGCTGGAAACAAATTTGTGCATTAGTTTATTCATTCATGAAAGTATTTTTTGAATTTACCGTGTGTCAAGCAATAAGCTAGGGATTACTCACTCTTGAATAGTTTCCAATCATTGCCTTTGACACCTTAGGGAGACAGAAAATTTAAATGATGATTTGTTTAATAGGCATAGGAAACTGGTTAAGTCCAGGAAAATTTCATAAGCAAACATTCATGCAGCCTAATGTTCACAATTATATATCAATAATGTTATAATTAACTTTTCTAAAAAAAATAAAACCGGCACCAAAAATTTCTAAAAATTTGTCTCAGGAAATTTTTGTTTACACATGTTCATGAACCAAGACCTATTTCAGTTGCAATATTTTTCCCTACTTATAAAAGCTAAGCCCCAGACCCCAATGGGAATCACAGTCCCTTCCCCCATAAGCTGGGTTTATCTCATGAAATTGCTCTGAGGCTCAAACATAATAATATGTGTGAAAAA